TTTGAGAGGCAGATGTCTGCTGAGTGTCACTGTGCAATGGCGTGGTCCCCTGTCCCTAGCCTCCTCCTGATGCCTGGGTTCCCCTTTGATCAGATATACCTTGCAACACAGGCCCATTTGTCTTCTCTTGGAGGAGCCAGACAAGATTCTCATTTATTCACTCACTATCCACTATCACCATCTCACAGAAGCACACAGCATGTGTGAGTATTGTTACACCAGGGACATCATGTGTTGGGGCACAGGCCGCAGAGGGGTAGGGATTTGATCAGCAGGCTTATATGTGACAGAATTAATCAGTAGATAGTTTTTCTGACAAAAACAAAGATGATCCTATGCTTACCAGGCATCGCTCACAGCAGCTGTCCTGGGCCTGGCCCTACATGGTAGGCTGCCGTTCATTTTTAGTTCCTGGGACTCAACATGTAGCCGTACCCGATTGGACTGGAGTGGGGGGCACCTCATGGGCTGATCCAGTAGGATTTTGTCCATTGGGATTTTGTACTAAGAAATCTCAGTGACCTAATGAGCAATGGGAGGTTGGAACAGTCACAATGGGCCACATCCAGGCTGAGAAGCTAGGAGTAAGTAGAAGCTACACAGAGCATAAAGAGAGAAAAAGTAAGTCAGTGGCCAAAACAGAACAGAGCCGACACACACAAAAGGGGAAATGGAAATGCTGAGAGGGACAGAGGAAAGTAGAGGAAAGGTAGAAATGTGGAAGCAGGGAGAGAGGAAGAGGAAGAAGGGTGGGAAGATGGAGGGCAACAGGGAGAATCCCTAATCTACTTCAATTCCATTCAGGTTCCCCTGGGGTAGCTGACTCGTACTTTAAGGAATGTTTCTTGACACCAGCCATTGATTCAAATCCCGGCTCATCACTTACTAGCTGTATAACCTTGGGCAGGGCACTTAACCTCTCTGTACCTCAGTTTCCTCATCTGTAAAATAGGGATCAGTACAGTATCTGCCTCTTACAGATACGGTGAGAAACAAACAAGTTAACACACATGAAGCCCTTACAAAAACATCTGGCTCAGCTGGGTGTGCCAAGGCTCACACCTATAATCCCAGCAGTTTGGGAGGCCAGGGCGGGTCACTTGAGCCCAGGAGTTCAAGACCAGCCTGGGCAACATGGTGAGACTCCATCTCTACAAAATTTTTAAAAAATGAGCTGAGCATAGTGGTATGCACCTGTGGTCCTAGCTACTGGGGAAGCTGAGTCAGGAGGATTGCTCAAGCCCAGGAGGTAGAGGCTGCAGTGAGTCATGATCATGTCACTGCACTCCAGCCTGGGCAGTAGAGTGAAACCCTGTCTCAAACACACACACACACACCCCAAACAAACACCTGGCACACTACGTAAGCGTAGTCTATTTTCACTACTGAAGTTCTTGGTTTCAATAGAATCTCTCTGTTACTACCTCATATAAATCCTGATAGTAGCCCCCACCCCCAACCCCAGTTTAAACTGAGTACATTTGTGGGTATCTATTTCTTATGATCAAAACCAGCTTAACTAGAATACTTCAAGAATACTTCCCAAATTTTTGAAAGTAAAAAAAAAAAAAAAAAAAAGTCATACTTTCTTTTGAATTTTATAAACTTGGGATAAAAAGAGAAACTAAGTGCATGCCTTGTGGGAACAGAAATGAGTAGAGTAAAAGAAGAGACATTCCAAGTGTGTACATTGTCAAAACAAGTTATCACTAATTCGGGCAAACAGGGTGGGGCGGCTTCACCTTGCCTTTCCCCACGGCTGCTTCCTGGGACTGAATGCTGCAGAGGCGATGTTTTCCTTTGTGGAAGGTTCTTCTCACTGCTTCTGTATCGAACACGTGTACTCAGGTTTTGCTTTCCTCAGATGTGTTCTGTTTCATTTATTCCCTGAGGCTTGAGGTCTTCTCTCCATTTCTTGGCAAATGTGGGATTTCTGCATCATCCACCACTCCCCAACAGTACTCACCCTGTGTAATTTTGTTGCACGTGTTTACAAGCATTGGCAACAAAGTTCCATGTTGACTTACCAAGAACAAAGCCCATGGAGATGGCGCACAGTGGCTAACATTGTCCCAGAAAGCAATTTTGTCTTTTGGAAGACCTGTGGGTGCCCTCCTGACACGCTGACTGTAGGAGTTGGCCAGGGTTGTCTAGCAAAAGTTCCACAGACTGGGCAGCTGAAACAACAGGAATGTATCATCTCACAGTTCTGGAGGCTAGAAGTTTGAGATCAAGGTGTCAGCAGGATTGGTTCCTTCTGAGGGCTGTGAAGATGAGACAGTTCTGTGCTTCTCTCCTGGCTTCTAGTAGTTTGCAGGCAATCTTTGACTTTCTTGGCTACTGCTCCATCACTCTGATCTCTACCTTCATTTTCACACCATGTTCTCCCTGTGTAGGTGTCTCTGTCCAAATTTCCTCTTTCCTTAAGGACATCGGTCATAGGAGATTAGGACGCACCCTGCTAGCTTCATCTTCATTTGATCAACTCTGTAATGACTCTGTCTCCAAAAAGGGTACATTCTAAGGTATTGGGAGTTAGAACTTTAACACATCTTATCTGAGGGGAGAGGAGGATGCAGTTTAATCCAATAACACTGACATATTTGAGAAGTGAGTACCAAAATGACTTTTGGGGTTGCCAGTTTGGTGACGGGGCTTAAAGCTGTTTGCTGATAATGGAATATTTGTGAAGTAAGTTCAGTGGCTATAAAAATTGTGAATCATACCCTCATTGCTTACCATTCTCTTGGCTTTTGTATTTTCACACTTTCTTGGTTTCTATTCTGTACTGGTCTCTGTTAGAATTCTCTGCCAGATCTCTAATGTGCGTCTTCCCCAACGTTCTCTATCTCAGTGTATAATGGCACCTCCATCGTTCCATGGCTCAAGTCAAATCCTACAAATCCTTCTTGATCCCTTGCTTTCCTCAGCTCCCTCCTTTGTTCAATCCAGCTTTAAATCCTGCTGGCTTTTACTCTAAGATATATATATATATATATATATATACACACACACACACACATATACATACACACACATACAGTCATGCATTGCTTAATGCTGGAGACATGTTCTGAGAAATACATTGTTAGGCAATTTAGTTGTGCATACATCATAGAGTGTACTAACACAAACCTAGATGGTGCAGCCTACTACACACCTAGGCTATACGGTTTACAGCCTATTGCTCCTCGGCTACAACCTGCATGGCATGTCACTGTACTGAATGAATGCTGTAGGCAAGTGTAACACAATGGTAAGTATTTGAGTATCTAAACACAGAAAAGGTATAGTAAAAATATGGTATAAAAGATAAAAAATGGTATACCTTTATAGGACACTTACCATGAATGAAGCTTGCAGGACTGGAAGTTGCTCTGGGTGAGTCAGTGAGTGGTGAGTGAAGGTGAGGGCCTAGAATATTACTGTAGGCTACTGTAGACTTTAGAAATACTGTACCCTTAGGCTATACTGAATTTATTTTAAAATTTCTTTCTTCAAAAATAAATTAACCTTAGCTTGCTTACAGTGACTTTTAACATTTATTAACTTTTTAATCTGTAAAAACTCTATTGTTCCTTTGTAATAACACTTAATTTAAAGCACACACACTTATACAGCTGTACAAAAGTATTTTCTTTCTTTATATCCTTATTCTATAACCTTTTATATTCTTTTGTATTTTTATTTTTAAACTTTTTTTTGTGAAAAACTAAGACACAAGCACACATTAGCATAGGCCTACACAGGGTCAGGATCATCGGTATCACTGTCTTCCACCTCCACACCGTATCTCACTGAAAGGTCTTCAGGGGCAATAACACGCATGGAGTTGTCATCTCCTGTGATAGCAATGCCTTCTTTATAATACCTCCTGAATGGCCTGACTGAGGCTGTGTTACAGTTAACTATATTTATTAAATAAGTAGAGGCAGTACTCTAAAATAATGATAAAAGTATAGTATGGTAAATGCATAAACCAGTAACATAGTCGTTTGTTATCATTATCAAGTGTTATGTACTGTACATAATCCTATGTGCTATACTTTCATAGGACTGGCAGCATAGTAGATTTGTGTACACCAGTATCACCACATACATGTGTGTATGCATTGCCCTGCAATGTTCCAGCAGCTATGAGGTCACTAGGTGATGGGAATTTTTCAGCTCCATTATAATCTCATGGTACCACCATAATATATGTAATTCAGCATTGATCGAATGGCATTATGTCTCCCATGACTGTACCTGGCACCTCCTCACCTCTCACCGTCTCTGTGGCTGCCATGGCAGGCCAGGCCACCTTGGACAGCTGCTATAACCTCCTAAATGGTCTCCTTTTACCACTCTTATTATGCAGTACTCTCCCTCCTGGTACTGTTCAGAATAATGTAATCATCTCTTGTTCCTCCTCCCCACTTTGCTTTAAATTCTCCAAAGGCTCCTCACTGCCCCGGAAATCAAAGCTCTTTACTGTAGCCAACATGACCTGCAGTGACCAGGCCTCTGCCTACGTCCCTCTACACCTCATGTAAAAACCTCCAAGCCCATTTTCTACCTACTTTAGGGCTCACACTAGCTGGGCTCTCTTTCTAGAAAACTATTTTTTCAGATGTTCCATTGGCTTCACTCCTTCTTGTCATTTAGGTCTCAGCTCAAATTTCGTTTGCCCCGAGCTGCCCTCTGATTGTGCAACATAAAGCAGACTCTCCTGTTCTCCCTATATTTCCTATCATATCTTCCTGATTACTTTTCATTCTGTCACTCATCACGTGCCACGGTCACTGTCTTCTCCTCCCACTAGACCAGACTCTGCATAACACTGGGTACATTGTCCTGCTTGTGCAGTTTGTATCCTCAAGGCCTAAAACAGTGTCTTACACAATTGAATCATCAATGAATTCTTGGTTATTGGATGAATGAATGAATGAATGAATCAATCAATCAATCAATCAAGAATTCCTGGGCAAAACATGAAAAGAACTTGCAGTTAGAATGCATACTATAAGTCAGACATGGTTCAAGGCTTTGTTACCAGGGTTTCTTTTGATCCTCAAGAAATTAATTAAGGTAGGTATTATCCCCATTTTAAACGAGGAACTTGAGGCTTTGAGAAATTAATAAAGAGACTGATCCAATAGATCATAAGTTGTTGAACTGAAGTTGTACCTGATCTCCGTATACTTTCTCCTATGACACAAGCTGGGGGTGACAAGCCCATAAGATAATACATTCAATACTTTAGAAATAAGAGTGTAAGCAAGTTACTGGAAGTACTGAGAACAATGTTATTTAGTTCTGGATCAACTAGGGAAGATACCCTTTTAGACTTAATCTTCCTATAACAGGAAAGATTAATTAAAGATTGAAGATTTCCACAGTAGACGGCATGCTTGGAGCAGGTGATCTGAAATAGAAGAAAATTTGAATTTTAATGAAAAAAGTTATCAAAAGGAAAAAAATTGGAATATTTTTATTACACTGTTATGGGATTCAGCACCAAGAGGCACATTTCAAGTCAGGAGTCAGAGTGTGTGAATGATTTTCCGAGATACTCTGTACCTCTCACGGTGCCACCTGGGCACGGCACTGTGGAGGAACTCAAAAATATTTGTTGAATGAGTGAATGGAGAGAATTATACTTAAGTCTATGTAGACACCCCTTCTCTCTTCCCATGTCATCTTTACTATTAGCAGAGGTGGGGACTGGCAACTTCATGTGGCTAGATGGCTGGAAACCAGACAAAAGACTTCCCACCAGATGCTTGGGCAAGTCGCAGTGCTTAAAGTGTGTGGAAACGCACACCCCAACCCCTTTCGTAGTTCTTACTCGCTCAACTACATGAACATTCATTCCCCTTATGCCTGTGAAGGAGCGAAGACTCAACACGTTACTTTGAAAAAAATTGCCCTCTTTCCTATTATCCTCTAATGGCCCTGCATCAGTCTTTTGTTGGTTGTAGTTACATTTGGGGACAGCATGATTTAATCCATGATATATTGCATTCTTGGTGATAATGAACTATAAAGAATGGGGTCCTGTTGTAATTTATTTCAATAAATTTCAGATTACTATCTAGAAGTACTAGGAATAATCTCATGAATAAAAGAAATAAAAAAGGAATTTATGAAATCTTTACATTCCCTAAGGAAATAATTCAAGTACCAAAAGAAGCAACTAAATTTAGGTAATAGGAAATCAAGGTGTTTAAAGGAGAGCTGTTGTTTTACAAGGTCTGAAATCACTACTTGGGATGCAATAAAAAGTGGTAAGGGTGCCTGATTACCGACAACCAGTGTCATGAACCAACGCAAGCATTTACGGAGAAAATTATCTAGGTAAAAAAAAACAAGGTGATTCAATTTACAAAGGACATAAAAGACAATGGAAAAGATCCTTTATGTACCCGGCAGAAACACCAGGGGAAGCTCTACCTCTTGATTAGATGTAAAGATGGCAGGACAGATTAACACCCAAAGACACATTTCAATGGGAAGCTGTGTTCACTTTGGGATTGTAGAGCAGGTTCCCCAGGCCACCGACTGCAGTGGAGATTAGGTTACAGATGACTGGGGGCAGGGAGTTCTCTGGGGAACAATACCTGTTGGGGAGTGAAGGCAGCAGGACTAGGCAAAGGGGAAATTAAACTGTGATGCAGCTGCAGTAGAGGCCTCAGCACCCCACCAGGAGCTGCAGAGCTGGGGGTGGCTTTTCCAAGAGATCCTGAATTCAGGCAAGATGGGTCCAACCTTTGTATCATGCTATGGACTAGCCACTTGGAATGTGTGTTGCCCCCAGGGTGGGGGCACATCCTAGAGCAAGGCGGTTCTTTTCAGCAATGCCTGGGGAGGGACTCAGCTGTCAGCCATCAACAGCTAACACTTCTGGCAGATGTGGGGGCTGCGTGGCTCAGTCCTGAAGATGGGGTGGGAGTTAGGCCATGCATCTCTGTCTATTCTGCTGGAACCAGTACCAGGAGGCTGAAAGGAAAGAAGATGGTAGAATGTTGCTTAGCATAATCTATTTTTAAATGTGATGCTGAGTTGACCTTCAGCTCTTCCCTTAGCCACTACAATAGCCTTCCTATAGCTCTTTCCACTTCCACACCTGGCTCCCTTCAGAGTGATGGTAAAACAATCTGAAAACATAAATCTAGTCCTGCGATACCCCTGCCTCATACCCTTCAATGATTTCCCATCTCCCATGGGATTAAAAACCCAGCTCTTTGACATGCTTGTAAAGCAAGGTGACCAGATAACTTATCGTGCAAACCAGGACACTTTTGAGAGTGAAAGGAGGCCCTATCCCTAGTTGTACAAGGACAGAGGTCTAAACCAGAACTATTCTTGGCAAATTGGGATGTATGTTCACCCTACCTACAAGGCATCTGATAATATGGCCGCCTTTCACCCATGTTTCAGCCTCTTCCCAATGTCCACTCCTCTTTGCCTTCCATTAGATTCTGGAACAAATTAAGCTCTTTCTCACCCCAGGGCCTTTGTTTTTGTCACTTCCTTCCACCTCTACTTCTCCCTCTTTTATTCTTCAGGTCACAGCTTAAAATGTTTCTATTCGCAGAGGTCTCCCCATCTAGTCTCCATTGTAGTGCCGATTTATTCTATCCATAGTCCTAACTACTATCTGAAATTACAATCACTAGATTTTAAGCCCCAAAAGAACAAGAATCTGCTGTCTAATCAGTGTGTCCCCAGGGATTAGCCTAATGTGCTTCCATAGGTTTGGCATCCATACGTACAAAGCGAATGAATGAGGAGCTTGGGAAACTGTTCTGAAACAAAAATGTGTGTGTGTGTGTGTCAATGAAATGCCCAAGACCACCATCAAAAGACAAACACATCACATACATCAGAAATTATACAGGTGGCTGCTCACCCTCAAAAAGGTGGACACAGAGAAATGCAAAACATTAAGCAGTCAATTTGCAAACACCTAGAGGATCACAGGCTGCTGGATAACAACCAGCGGTTTAGTGATGAGGATATGTTGTCAGAACAATCTAATTTCCTTTTAAGACAGAGAGACCCTCATCAAAAGCGTTTATTAAGTGTCTGTCCGCACACAGTCAGGAGGAGACCATTGGAGGTGGAGGGGCTTGTGTTCAGAGCTGTGAAGCATCAGATTTAATGTGTCTTCAACCAAAATCTGATTTTGCTTCTGTGATAATTTTCTTTCACAGGCCAAGCAAATATGAGATCCTTACAGTAGAAGGTGGTAGCAGAATTGTTACCAAGTTAAGCTCAGTATAATTACCAAAGCCTTTAATTGAAAAAAAAACAAAAACAAAAACAAAAAAATTCTTATGATTAAAGGATGATATTTGCTCAGGTTAAATGAGGTTCAATTTTCTGAGCTCTGCCTTGTAACACCTGACCATGTCCCAGAAAACAAAATTGTACTCAGATGAGCAAGTGAGTAGTTTTAGATTCCTGTGGAATGGTTACCAGATGCCCTCTTTTGAGAGAGGGTTCAAATGAAATCCTGAAAGTGAAACTTTTGATACTGAGTCACACACAAACATCCTGGTGAGCATTGCAGACTAACTGAAATGCCTTTTTAGGGGTCAAAAAGTCACATGCACCTTCCCTGATGCCACTGCAGGTATTATAACTTGACTTTTACAGAGACGATATTTCAGGTCAAGTTGACACAAACCCCTCCTATCACCCAGTTATACAGACCCTGCAGATGTGTGAATTGAATACAAAGCAGCTAGAAGATTCCACAACAATAAACACTTACAAAAATCTTAAAGGTGAGATCGAGGGAGATGAGACCATTGGGTGTAGTGAAGGGTAAGCTTGTCCCAACTGTAGGGATGGCACAGGTACCAAGGAGCAGCTCGCCAGCCCACAGGTGAGATATCTACATCTAAAAAGTCAGCTACAGTCCAGGGACCTGGCCCTAGCCATAGCATACTGCCCTATAAAGACCCTGAAGAACAAGATAGCACCCCAACCCAGAGCAACTGGAGTTTGGGGAATGTTGAAAAAAAATGCCTCACATCTATCCACAGGGAATAAGGCAGTGGCAGCCTGGAGACGGTGGGCAGCACTGATGGTAGGGAGGCAAATGGAATTCAACATTGCTCCATGTACCCAATGTTTGTTAAGAATGTATTTGTGGCTAGGTAATATCCTAGGTGATGGGATACAGCACAAACAAGACAGACACCATCTTTGCCCTCAGGGAGCTTACAGTTTCCAGAGAATTTAGATATTGATGAACCTGATGGGTCATTATATTTCTGGGTCTGCAGAGAGAGTCGTGGAGTTTGGGGAATAACTGAACCAATGGGAACAAGGATTAAGTAGGGGCAGGGGTTGGTATTAACTAATCCCAGCTATCTAGAGTAGAGGCCTGTAGGACAGAGTCCAGAAAATAACTTTACAATCCATTTTAGGTTCTGTGATTCAGTATCGCCCTAAGGAAGGCAAAATGCGTTTGAATGTTTGCCAGATTCAATGATTACAGGAAAGTCCTTGTCCCCCATATCTGCCAGGAGCATTTAGCACAATGGACCATGGCCTCCTTCCTGCCCATCCTTCTCTCTTGATCTTGGAGACACCTCCACATCTGTCTCTCACTTTACTGGCAGTTTCTTCTTCATCTCCTTTGTTGGCTCCTTCTCAACTGCCCAACCCATAAATGTTGGAATGTCCAGGTCTTTGTCCTGGGCTCTTGTCACTCCTAATTGCTGTCCTCCAGTGGCCTCATCCAGTCTAAGGTTTATGCCAGTGACATCCAACCTGTTCCTCCAGTGCTGACCCCTTCCCAAAACACCAGGCCTTCCCCCTTACTTAACAGGCACCACAGACTTGAATGTCCAGCCCCCAAACCTGCTCCTCTCTGAGTTTCTTGTATTTCAGTTCATTCAGTTACTGGACCAAGATCTAGGGGTTATCCTGATTCCTCTCTCTCCTTTGACTCCCACATCCAATTCATCCTAAGTCCTGTCACTTCTTCCTCCAAAACTTATTTGACCTCTTAATCTCCATTGCTATAAACCTGGCTCAGCCTGCATTATCATAGGAGCTTCCTAACTGATTCAACTCTTCCCCATCTTCCCCTTAATAACCACTCTCTGCCCATCAGCCAGAGGGATCCATTTAAACATTAATCAGATATGTTACTCTCCTATTGTAAAAGTGATAATAGCCTGCTCAGTGCATTTAGCATAAAGTCCAAATTCTTTATGTTGGCTTAAACACCCTACCTGTTCTCTCCATTCCCTCCCCGCATCCCCTTTCTCACTGTGCTTTAGGCACAGTCTTCTTTCTGTTTTTTCAGATACCATAGTCCAACCTTGAGGCCTTGGCATTTGCAGTTCCCTCTGCTTGGAGTGCTCTTCTCCAATTTTTACATGGCCCACTCTACACTGACATTCAGATCTGTCTAAATGTTCCTTCAGTGTGGCTTCCCTGGCCACCAGACCAGTAATGCACGGTTATTCCTTATCATATAATCTTTTAAATGGTCTGTATGTTGCTTACTAATGTTGATATTATTATTATTTACGTACTTATTTATTTGTGGTTTGTCTTCATCCTTTAGAATGTAAACTCTAGGAGAGCAGAGATATTGTATTCACAGAGCCTGGAACAATCCTGGTTATATAGATGGCAGGATTCCAGTCAATCTGTGAAATAAAGTATCTGAATGCCCAAAGGCTAGTATTACACCAACCTGTCATGAGTAAGTGTATCAGTCAGGTATTGCTGTGTAGCAAGTCACTCCAAAACTCAGTAACTGAAAACAATAGGCATTTATTATTGCTCACCAGCCTATTGGTCAGTTCTACTGACTTGGGCCAGGTTTGGCTGGTTTTGGCTTGGCTTGTTCCTGCATCTGTGGTCAGCAGGCAGGATGGCTGAGGGCTGCTTGATCTAGGAAGACTTAACTCATAGGTCAGGCAGCTGTTTGACAAATAGTGATGGTGACAGGATGACTGGGCCATATGTCTCTGTCATCCAGTAGTGTGAGCTTGTTTGCAGGGTAATCATGGGGTCTGAGAGAGAGAGGGCAGAAGTGCCCAAAACCTGTTGAGGCTGAGGCTCAGAACTGGCACATCATCACTTATGCTGTATTCTGTTGGTCAAAGTGAGTTCCAAGTCAGGCTTAGATGTAAGGGATGGGGAAATAAACTCCACTTATTGATAGGTGCAAATGCAAAGTCACATTGCAAAGGTGTGGCCTCAGGAGGGGGTAAAGGGCTGAGGGTATTTTTGCAATTAATCAGCCATATTAAGGATGGCAATAAAAGTGGTAACTTTTCATTGCCACATTCTCCTTCCCAGACCAAGGCATAAAGGGCATGTACAGGCTCAGAAGTACCTTTTCCTCCACAGGAAAAGGGCTGGCCACAAGATACAGTGTGTTCTTGGTTGCACAGCTGTGATGACTGGGGAATCGGGGGACCTGGTCCCTGCATGCACCACTGCTGGAGAACTGTGTGGACTCATCTGTGGCCAATGAGAGCCACAGAATCCCGTCCTTCCTCATACCCACCCACTCACAAGGAGCCAGCACATAACTGAACATACGTATGTGTGTGTGCAGGGTGGGGCCTAACACAGGTGCTAATGGCCCTGTTGAACACCCCCCCAGAGAAGGAAGCAAACACCAGGCCTTCTTTTAGCACCAGATGGCTCCCATTTTGCAAGTATCTGGTAGAAAACAAGGATAAATCAAAGTTCCAAAGTTCTCTCCCTTCCTGTCTCCCTCCTGCCAACCTCTCTGTCTCTCGTTCTTAGAATTGGGGTCTCACTCTATTGCCCAGGCTGGAGTGCAGTGGCACTATCACAGCTCACTGCAACCTCAATCTCCCCTAGGCTCAAATGATCCTTCCACCTCAGCCTCCCGAGTAGCTGGGACTACAGGTGTGCACCACTACACCCAGTTAATTTTTTATCTGTCTCATCTTTGAGTAGAACTCAAGTGACTCAGAATGAAAAGACCTTGGCACAGACCTGTTAAGGAAACTCCTTATAAAGTGAAGAAAACAACATGCTCAGCCATGTCCTTGCCTTCTGTGCACGGTAGTACATTCACTGCCTGAGAATTCAAGGCTAAAACAAAAAGAGGAGCTTTTGTTCCAACAGATAAGTACTTACCTTTTTCAAAAAAAATGCGTAAGCTGTCCTGAGTGTTTAACAGTTATTTGCACAGCTTTCCAAAGACTCACAGCATTTAAAAGCTAACCCTCTGGAGATTCAACAGCTTCTTCCAGGTCCCACCACAGTGGAAAAGAACTCTGGATGTCCTGGCTTGCTGTCCAGCTCTTCTCTCTTCCCTTCCAGCTGCCAATTCAGCTTTAAGAAGTTCATTCATTCTCCACACTCAGATGCAGGCAAATGCATTCAACTTGAGCATATTGATTTCAGGCAGGTGAGAGTGGATGTAGCAATTCAGCCTGACAAATATTTAGATCAGTTAAGTGTCCTTTAGAATCACTTGAACTCAATGTTTCCTTTCCCCAACCATTTCGCTCCACAACCTACCTCCCCAGCATAAAATATTCAAATTCTTTCTAAATTTCATGTACTGAAAAAATACTTCTAGGCCCTAGCTACATGATACCTCCACTGGGAGTCCTGTCCTTTCCATGCCCTGAGAAAACCGGATCTAAAGCAGATTTAAATGACTCAGCAGTAGGACTCGGGTCTCTGTCTCTGCCTGCTTACTTGGGGAGTGCTCTAGCCTTTGGGGCTCTCTTGCACTCCGACATAAGAACAAAATCATCGATGGCTCCATTCCCCAGCACTTGAGACTTTTCTTCCCACAGACACATTCCTGAGGACACCAGTCATGGGTAAAGAACTCCACTGGGGTCAGCGTTGGATCCCGCTAGGCAGTTTAGGACTTGTAAGTATAGTAGTATGGGCTTGGTGTTCTCAGAGCCTCTCACTCATGATTCATGGCTCTCCACCCCAAGCATCGGAACTTGCCCAACTTCACCACAGAAGGAAACAGCCTGTAAGCTTGGAGGGCCAGGGAGGAAACCGGAGGCATGTGTGGGAGGATTAGACACATGAAAAGATATTTACAGTAAGGTTTGCTTGTCATCCTATCGAACTGGGGGTGCATAGAGTACAATAAGACCCCGTGTGAGTACGTCAGATGACAAGGCTCAGGTTGGATGGGTGTGTAGAGTAAAGGCTTTTCATCACCTTTGCCAGGGTGAGGGAAGGCTATGGATAGCACAGGGGACCTTGATGATGGGATGAGGGAGCCCATGTGGATGTAGTGGTCACCAACTGCTTCCCAATTCTCCACATGGGAGAAAGAGCCCTTCTCTGTAATCATGGAAGCTCAAGTTCTTGATGGTTCAGAGGTTAGGGACCTCTGATTATTAGGGCAGAGCAGAATAGCAGGGCTGGCCCTGGTAGATCAGACATCTCGTGACACCCTTTAAAAGGGACTAGAATATTCGGAACTCCAGTGTAACTAAATGCTCCTCAAGATTTACCAGCAAGTGAGCGAGGTCCCATTGTATTTGGTACTCACATCCCCACCAATTCTGTAAAAGTTTGCCAAGTTTCCCCTCCATCTCCTGCACCCTTTCACCAAAAGATATGCCTAAGAGTTCCCAAGAGGCATCTAACATAGGCCTGCATGTCAGCCCAGTCTCCTGGGCTGAGCTTCTGCACTGTTGCCTTGATGGCTGAACCTGATCTCTGTCGCAGCACCCACCACTCTTTCTCAAGCCTTGACACCTTGGCAGGCTTTGGCAAAAAGAGGAGAGCTGTTCTTCCTCGGCATTATGTTCACTTAGCAGGGGTCCCACAGCAGGGTTGCTTGGACCCCAGAGTATCATAGGGCTTAATAAGACCAGCCCTTTTATCTCACACGCTCTATCCTTTCTCTCACTGGTGCACACATGTCAGGCGTCTGAGTAGGGAGTGCTCAAATATTTGCACCAGCTTGAGTCAGAACCCGACTTCCCAGGTCTGTTACCAAGCCTGGTCCACACTTCAGGGTCTTTTCCTCACTGTCTGGTCTTTTTCAGGTGCCTACCTTTCCTCCCTGCAAACTGCCTTGAGTTGCCTCCCCTTCTCCCTTCCTTCCTGGTCTGTCAGAAGCATCTTGTCTGTGTACATATTTGAACCCCATCAGTACACAGAAATCATATATTTCCTTGAGGGCCCCTCAGACCCCAGGTACAAACATTGAAGTAAATAACAGCAGGGATGGGGGTTCTGCCTCGCTTCACCTGCCAGCCATGTGCAGACCTTGTTTCAGTCCAACTGAGACTTTAGCGAATGCTTCATTCTGGTTTCTGAATGGCTTCCCAGCGTTTGTCGCTGTGTTCACAGGGCCACTGGGGTTGGCTGAGTCAGAATACCAGCCACATGGCATGTCTCATGGGGCAAGAGCTGTGCGCCCATGGGAGCCCAGAGAAGGAGCACACTGAGGACCAACACCAGGTAGGACTTGCCCAAACAGGAGTCTAAAGAAGATGGCCAAAAGAGGGTTGCAAATCTAGTAGTTTAGACGTGGTGCCAAGATAAGGTCAGATTCCGAGCATGTTTAGATCAAGTAAATGGTGTTTGAGGGTGGCTGTCCTAACCACCTGCAGTTGTTCACTACTCGCCTATATAGGCCAGATTGTGTCTGCCAGGGAGATGGACCAGGCTGGCTTGAAGGACCAGAGCAGATTACATGCCCCAGACAGGTGTTATACAGTGGTTAAAGCTCCTGCTTGTGTTTAAAGGATTATTTACAAAATGTAAAAAGACCCAAAGACTTTAATTCCTTTGTAATGCTGGGATTAAAATCTCAACTAACAAGAGTCTAACTAGATGGGAAATGGGAAATCTCCTATGGAAATTTGGTTCTTTTGAATTCAAGCTGCATACACAGTAGATTATTTTCCCCCTATAAAATGAAAGTGTATGGCAATCTGGATATTTTCTTACTGAAGTGAAGATAGTGGTAAACTAAATATTTTTTAATGAGAGAATTGCTTTATATTCTGCTTTTTCTGCTGGTGTTCACTAGGGCTTCTAATACAAATGCAGTATCACCCTCAGCTCTTCTTATAATACCTGTTGCGTGAGATGATATGGGTGCTTAGGGGAACAGGATAGGGGATCTCTTGTATTTCGGGGGATGCAGGCATAAGTGGATGACCCAAGGTCAAATAATGAGCTGAAGTTCATTATCTCTGTTTCCAGCTCTGCAGATGAACAATATCATCACAACTAACCAATTGATCAATTATTCATTCAGCCATTAAATGAGAAGCTACTGTGTACCCATCCCTTTCCTTGGCCTTCTGGACAATTAGACATGATGCCTATCTTCAAATTGCTCACACACCAGTTGGAGACACAAAAGTTACATGCAGTAAGCAACAATCCCTAAATGCTCAACAGCTCACCAAGCCTGAATAGAGAGGAAGAGACCTTGGTGTGGCCTGGAATGAAAGAGCAGCTTTAGGAAGGAGTGGCATAAAAGAGAGAACTTAATCCAGCAGTTTTTCTTCCTCTACACCCAGATGGTATTACATGTGTTACCGGCCAGTGTTGGGTACCAATGGCACTGATGCGGTCACTAAGGGGCCCTTGGTACCAGGGCTGGGAAAAGGGTGGGGAAAGCAAGACCTCTAGGCCCTTCAAGAATGAGCACCTCCCTAGATAACATGCCTAGGCTGTCCCTCCCTGGCCTCCACCTGGTCCCAGTATGCTTTCTCTGCCTCTCTCTGTTTCATTCTCTGGCTCCATCTTTTTATTAGTGTTATTTTTTCTCCCTCCTGGTTGTTTTTCTCCATTCTTTCTCTTCTTTCTTTCTTTCTTTCTTTCTTTTCTTTTCCTTTTTACCAGTCTACTTCTAATACTCTTCCAGTGCCCCTCCATGATCCATTCCAGATGTTGCTGGATTCTTATGTAGACTGATGCTAGAGGTCATGGGGTGGATGTAAACAATGTCTGCAACCTGCCTTAGCATTGTTATTTTTAATCCTGTGATAACAGTAGTACTGACACATATTACAAGTCATGTCTTTGGATGTCGTTTCTGAGAAAGTCCAAGTTGTTTTTACGAAAGAACACCCATGTAAAGGAATGAGACGATCTAAGTTACATGAAGACATTAACTGCAACAAAATGAGGTTAATACATTTGAATTCTTAGCCAACTAATGCTTCTAAACATCTTCCCTTCAGAGCATAATCTCCTTGCTCATCTTATTCTCCACAGACCCCTCTCCACTGGAACTGTAGTACCTAGAATAGAGTTGGATATACATGAGGTGCTTAATACATATTTGTCAAATTGAGTATCCAGTTTTAGGAGTTTAAAGAGGGTTTTCAAATGGGGACAAGCCGAGACACAAATAATCTCAGGAATGAGATGAAACTATTTGGCCAATTGGAGATGAAGTTCACAATGGAAACTATGACATGACTTAACATCCTCAAACCCTGAAGTAATAATTAGCACATAAAGTTGGTCTGTTTTGGACTTCGTGTTGTGCTCCCCGCAAAATTGGTATGTTGAAATCCTAACCCCCAATGTGATGGCATTGGGAGGTGGAGCCTTTGGGAAGTCACTAGGTCACAAAGTTGGGGCCTCATGAATGGGATTAGTGCCCTCATATGAATGATCAGGAGAGAACTTGCTTTTTCCTTTTTCTGTTCTCTACTTTGTGAGGATACAGAGAGAAGACAGCTGTCTGCAAACCAGAAAGAGGGTCCTCACTGCACTTCGTATCTGCTAATGGATCCTTGCTCTTGAACCTCCCAACCTGCAGAATCGCGAGAAATAAACGTTGTGTAATCCACCCAGTCTAGAGTAATTTGTTCTAGCAGACCAAGCTGACTAAGATATGGTCTCATCACATAACCACTTTTAACCTTAGTGTTTCTATCTGTAAAGTAAGCGGGTTAGAGAAATCATTCTAGAAGATATTTCTGCTTTAAAAAAATTCTTCTATTTCCTTTTCAATGTGAAGTTTGGGTGGTCCCATTGTAAATGACTCCATTTGATTTTGATTTTGAATTTATTGTCTTTCTTCCCACTTTCATCTCAGGTACTTAGGTCAGGTATGTGCTTTTGATCACAGCCTCAGAAAATAGAACAGTGTGTGGCATTGGGAGGTGGGGCCTTTGCTTAGGAGCTTTGAAAACAGAAGTAATTTTCTTGTCCACATGTTCACAGTTGTCTAAGTTCTTTAAGTTTTAGTCTATATTACTATTGGTTTCAAACATTTAATGTATGGATTATTCCTTTGGTTCCTGCATTCCTGCTTTCATAGGCATATTGACTTGTTAAATAATGAAAATTAGCTGAACCGTGGCCTAAGAATCAGAGTCTTCAAGGGTTAAAATAAAAATGTACTTTGGTCACATCCCCACCCTGCTTTCTTCTGGGACCCTCGGGGTAAGGTAGCTGGTATTTGGTTGACATGGTCCAGGTATTGAATAGATGTCCATGCTTTCCTTTTCTTCAAGAATGAGGAAGCTGCCTTCAGATGCCAAAGTGGGATTCTATATAAATAGCTGGGCTATCACATCTGAGCAACCTTGGAGGAACAGTGTTCACCCTGCCTTTAGTTTTCTGCTGATGTTATTCAACATTCTTTACCAAATTCGGTCTCTTTCTTCCTCTCCATTTTGGCAGGTGCATTGGCTTTCTTTTCTAATCTAGGAATGGTGAATAGCGATGGTGGCTGCAAACACCAGAGAGGAGTCAGCAGAGGGGGTAGGGGCGGTCGGGGAGGCTATTCTCTGACAAGG